AGAGAGAGAGAGAGAGAGAGAGAGAGAGAGAGAGAGAGAGAGAGAGAGAGAGAGAGAGAGAGAGAGAGAGAGAGAGAGAGAGAGTTGAGGTTGAGTGACGCTCTCCTTTTTTTATCTCGGCTTCGGGTGATCCGCCCTTCTTTTTTTATTCGACATCTCTCTTTGGTTTTCGCCGACTTACTGGCGCTCTCCTTCGACTTCAATCTTTCTCTTTGTAAATGATGAGTGGATGATATGCTCGCAGTTTCTTTGTTGCATGCCCTTGCTCACTATGCATGGTCCGTAACAGGGATGGATGTGGTTGCAAATGTCTAATGTATGATGCGATGCCACTTTGCATGATCAGGATAGTTGGTGAGTGATTGGATTGTTGGATGGTTGTCTCTGCCTCATGGTAACTGTTGCATTTCGAACTTGTCCCTTTTTGCACGAGGATCGGGTAACTGACGCGTGCACGATCAAGCCCCTCGTGTGCACATGTGTAAGCGCGATCTGATAAAACGCGGCCTACATGTGTCCACAAGCGGCTGATCCGCGATCATGACTGCTCTTTCGTCCGAATGAAAAGATGTTGCACATCATAGAGAGGGAAAGGGAAAGATTAGGGGATCCAGAATACCAGGAATACTGGGAGGAAGAACAACTCCGAATACGGGGAGGTTTGAGGAACTCGAAATTCCCCTGTCTAATCGAAAACGACCGACTGTGCGGTAGGGAGTTTCACCGAGCCATAACCAGCGACCCGAGGGGCCCCGACTACCCGAACACGTACAACACGCAATATTTCATTTCCCCCGGCTTCGTCATTATCGCGACAAATTTCCCTCCCTTTCACCTTCTCCTCCCGTATCACCAACTCACGGTGGTACCGTGGAACTCCATAGCCCCGTATTGGCTCTTTTTCCCGTGCAGAAATTGCAGACGACGCGGCAACCAGCAACCTGCTAGAGCAACCGAGCCTAACTACCGCGCGCAGTGCCAGCTGACACGTGGCACCAACCGGAGGTCCGACCCGCCGAGGTCACGAGCCTCGCAACCAAACCGCCCTTGAACCGTCGCCATCAGATCGGAGGCACACCGCGCCTGCCATCTGCCTTATGCTGCACGACATCGACCACACCATACCGAGATTAACCCGCCCCTTTGTCTATTTGCACATATGTCCCTGAGCCTTGCCACAGGAGATCTCAGTTTCGACCTAGGACTCCACCCCAAATTTCCAAAAATCCTTGGCACACCCCTTTTCGCACTTCCAGGCCCACATCCCACTCCGAATAGGAAGTCGCGCCGGGCATGAGGTTGGTATCGGAGGCGACACGTGGCAGGGTTACAGGATCCGTAGGGCGGTAATCAAGGACAAAACGATCTGGCTAACAGAGGAAGGCCTCGACCCCGGAACGCGCATCGATGTGACCCTGTCGTCACAAGGAGCCGTTCCGCGGCTCGACGAGCGCCCAACATGAACGCTAATCCACAACAGAATCCGCAACAGAATCCTAATCAACCCATACCACGAGCACGGGCACCTATGACCCCACCCGACCTCTATCTGTTCGATCCTGCTCATCACCTCGCCGGAGCATGGCTGGCCATGCTCCGAGCTCAGCAGTACGATGACAACGAGTGGCTGCAACAGATTATGGCGGTCGCGGAAGAGATGGAACGAAGTTCGCTGCGAGTTTACTAGAAGGGGAAGATTATCCCAGGGAAGGAGACTCGTCCGAACTAGCGAGAGCTAAAGCTGAGCTGGCCGCATTACAGAACAAATTTGAAAACATGGGGTTTGTATCTGGCCCTGTCACCTATCTAGAACAAATTACCCCCAAACGGCCGGCCCCGAGTGTGATTACGGGCATGCCTGTTCCCGTAATGACAGCAACCCCGTCACCAATCGAGATCCCCGCACGACCAAGTGAGTCGACCGCTATTTTGGAATTAACTAAAACATTAATCAATCTGATTCAAGAAAGCAAGAAAGAACAGAGAGAGCATAATGCTCGGCTAGAGGCCATGATGAGAACGATGCGACCAATCGCTGTACGTGCCGCCCCAACCCAACAAGGGCTGGCTCCAGCACCCGCTCTTGGAGGGGCTGCTGGTAATCTGAATGTCTGTTACACGTGCCACCAGCCCGGGCACATAGCCCGAGACTGTCCCCATCGACCTCCACAATAGCGAATCGGGGTCGCACCGGTAGCAGCAACCCCGATTGCTAATGGACCTGGACGAGTAGGAGCGCTAATGGAAGAAATGGAAGGCGGTGGAAGTGCCTTAACAACGATGGAGGAGGCTGCTGAACTCATTCCGTTGGATCAGTACGTAACGCTGGGTTACCCGGTACTGAGCAGGATGCGCAAATGATGGCTACGCTGTTCTCCTGGCGGTCGGATAACTCCTTCATTTTCGCGCCACCCCCAGAAATCGCTAGGCAGGTAAGTACGAAACAGATCGACGTGCGGATATGGGACCAATTATACGAATTGCACGTGCCCTGTTACGTACCTGACGAGATTCATCACCTAATCGCGGACATTCTAAAGGAATACCAGGAAGCGATTAGTGTGACAGACACGGACATTGGATTGTCGTTAGTCATACGACATGAGATTCAAACTGGAAACCATCCCCCGATCCATTGTAAACCCTACAGGTATTCTCTCGTAGAGAGAAAGACAGCCCTTCAACGGATTCGAGAATTTGAGGCTAACAGATGGATCGAGCCCGCTACTGGCCATGGTCATTCCCCGTTGTCTTAGTTCCGAAGAAGAATGGGTCGATTCGCATATGAATTGATTATCACAAGTTGAATGATATCACGATTAAAGATGTGTACCCCCTCCCCAGGATTGATGATTTGTTGGAAGCGATTGGGTGTGCTAATTACTTTAGCAAATTTGATATTCGTCACGGTTTTTATCATATTCTGGTCAAGGAGGAAAATCGACCGAAAACGGCGTTCGTACTGCTTGAGGACACGTGGCAATGGGTTCGGTGCCCTATGGGGATTTGCAACGCGCCAGCTACGTTCCAGCGAGCTATGAATGTGACCTTCCAGAACTTCGTCAACAAGACACGGCTGACCCAGGGGATGATCAACTTTTGCGTCATCGTGTACATGGGCGACATCTTGGTCTACTCGGAAACCTATCATGGATATGCGCAGCATATCGAGTGGACGCTGGGAGCTATGAGAGATGCTCAAGATCGCGCTGGAGAAGAGCGAGTTCTTCCTTTCGGAGCTCTCGTTCTTGGGTTATGTAGTGACACGTGGAGGTTTGCGGCCAGACTCAAGAAAGGTCGCAGCGGTGAAAGACGCCCTGTTCCCACATCGTTGACGCAGGTTCGAACTTTTCTTGGACTGACGTCATATTACCGCCGTTTTATCAAAGGCTTTGCGGCGATTGCGCGGCCTCTCACGAAGCTGCTACGGAAGGACCAACCTCTCAGTTGGGATGCAGAGTGCGAACAGGCCTTCGCTACCCTCAAAGACGCCCTGGCTACTGCACCTATTTTGATCCGGCCGGACCCGGCGAAGCAGTTTATTCTCATCACAGACTGGCAGCCGGAGGCGATTTCCGCTATTTTAGCGCAGAAGGGGAACGACGGCCGTGAACATGTCATTGAGTATGCATCGCGCACAGTGCCAGATGAACGGAAGAACGATTCGGCCCCGCAAGGCGAATGCTACGCGGTAGTTTGGGGAATTCAGCACTCCCATCCGTATTTCTACGGACATAAGTTTCGCCTTGTGACAGATCACGAGCCACTGCTGGCTCTGAAGAAGCTCACTAATTACACAGGCATGATCGGGCGATGGGCAGTGCGCCTGCAGGAGTACGACTTCGACATCATCCATCGGAAGACGGAGAGGCACGGGAACGCTGACGGGCTGACACGTTTGCATCGACCGGCCAAGGTGCCTAAGGGCGAGGAAATCATTCCGTGGAAGGAACCAGAATCGGCAAACGGACCTAAGTACGGAAAGGTGGCAGTTCTGCCACGTGGCAAGAAACGGACAAATGGCAATGGGTGACGGAGGTAATCTTCCAACTCCTCTCTCTCCCCTTTCCTCTTCGTCTCTTCTCTCCCTACCCGACAAATTTTGTTATTTTTGCGAAGCAATTTCACGCGTGTATTCTGTCTCTATGCATCCTTCCGGGGAAGGATATGTCGATTGGGATAGACTGTCGGCAGTGTGTCGCGAGAGCCCACGGCTCATGCATCCAGTATCGAAGTAGCGACAAACCTTGGTTGTGTCCCCTATGTCGAGTCAATAAAATCCCGACCGAGGCTCGATTTCTCGACGCCACGTCAGAAGGGTTGGAAAAAACCCAAAAATTTAGAAGGGCCGAGGTGTGGACGGATATCGCTCTAATAGCCACCTTGGTGGGTAACCCCCTCCAAGACTTCACTAAAGAGGACCGGAGGAGGGCCAATTAGAGAAGCGGAAAATGGACGGTAGTGGGATTTGGATGGTAGTACCGCACCCGTTCATGAGGTATGACTGGGTGAGGACAACGCATGAGGAGACGGCAGCACATTTTGCCGTACGAATCACGGAGGCAGCGATCGACAAAAATGAGTAGTATTGGTCCAACATTCGCGACGATGTCAAATTCATCGTCCAGAACTGTCAGGTCTGCACCGCTGACAAGGCGCCCATTCAGCCGCCGAGATCTATAGTACCAACGGTAGTTGAACGGCCTTTTCAAAGGGTTAGCATGGATACTACCGATATCGTAGTGCCTCCTGGTCCTAATAGCTGTGAATATTCAATTTTGTTGGTATTCGTCAACCATTTTTCGAAATGGATCGAAGCATATCCATGCCATACGCCACAGGCGTCGGAGATCGCGTGATATGTCAACCGTTTCCTCGGGATGCATCAAGATACGGAGGAGATCCTGATCGACAACGGGGCTGAATTCAGAGGGGAAGTCCTGAAGAACCTGGTCATACATGGCGTCTCCATTCGGAATACTGCACTTCATATGTCACAGACTCACAGTCCAATGGGCTGGTGGAGAACGCAAATAGGGTGATAAAGACAGCACTGCGACGGAACATCGCGGCCCGGGATCCGAGACCCTGGCCCGATATCATAGATCACATCCTGGTGGTCCATCGAGGAACGCCCCACGAATCGACGGGCCTGAGCCCCTTCCAATTAAGGACCAATAGCGTGGCTTGCGTTTCGATACCGAGCCTCCCGGACGAATCTTCATTGAACCGACAACCCACGAGAGCCACGGTTCGAGACAAGGCCAAGCGGCATTTAGAACTGATGGAGCGGTCCCTCCCCCGGTTAGCCCGAAAACGCCAACGGAAGACCGAATTGGCCCAAGGCCGACAGGTCCGTAGCTACGAGGCCCGAAATGGGAACGCGGGTCCACGGCCCCAATATAAATTAGGGGACATCGTGCAGGTAAGGAAATGTGCTCGCCAGGGTAAGCTAGCGCCACGATTCTTCGGGCGATTTTGCGTAGTCGAGCTTGGACCAAACGGCGTGAACACCGTGCGGCTCGTGCCTGAGGTCTCCGGTGGCCGATCGGCTCGCCCGATCACTCGCCACGTATCCTATCTGCGTCCCCTCCCTTCTTCTCCATCTCCGACTTCATCCGTCTTCTCCTCCGCTGCGGAAGAAGACGACGAGTGCACATCGCCCGCTTCTCCCTCTCTGTCCCCCTCTCTTTCTGACACTCCGTCCCCGCCACCATCGTCATGAACTTTTCCGTGCAGCAGGCGATCGACACACAGCTACTGACCCCAAGAGGGCGGATCACGACGATCAGGCAAGTACAACGGTCACGGCACAACACCGATCTCCTTCGATTCACGACTTTCTTCAGCACAACCGCGATCCACGCGGCAGCGGAATTCCGGTTCGCACAAGCAGCGGCGACACGTGTCCTAGCTAAGATCTCGGCCTTTCTACGACTATCTCCCCCAGGAGTTAGTCACGTCTTGGTGGTCGTCGTATTCGTGGGGGACATCACAGCAGTACCAGCGGCGATCCATCCGGACATCTTCCGGACGTTGCGGGCTTGGGGTGACGAGATTGCGGCCGCGTGGACCACGCGCCTTGCTCGGCGTGGTGACACAGTCGTGCCCTCCCACGACGTCGATCTGCAGCTTCGCTCTTCCAACGATTTGCCACCAATCGTACTTCCAGAGCTTCATCCTTTCGCGCCGTCCCAATGAGTCGCCGTCGACTCTCTCTCTTCGGCCTCTCCTCTAATATTCCTCCCCTCTGGCAATCCGCTCACCCCCCCTCTCTCTCCTATTACATCAAGGCTGATCAAGCAGATCAGCGTGCCGCTCTTGGACAAGGATAAGTGGGATCAGTGGTGGGACGCTTACGAGGAACTTGCTTTCTGTCTGTTGGAGGTGGAGTTCCGTTGGTCTGAGCCTGTACCGTACGGAGAGGGGCCAGAGGTTCCGAACGACGAAGTGGAGCTGTTGATCGTGCACGCTTGGTGGACGCCGACGGAAGGGGATCTGTTGGGAATACTCTTCGGAAAGGTGGAAGACGGGAACCTCGCTCTCATTACGAGTGAACTGCTGGTGTTTTTGGTACAATTAGGAGACGATCTGCCCCTGGACATCTTGTCACGGTGTGACAGCAGGCTGGGCATCGACGAGCTTTCCCGAACGCTTGAGCCGCATCTAGTGTGGTCCACGTGTACAGAGCTGGACCGGGATAACTGTATTTATCCGTCTTCGACTCTATACCTCGAGATCGACGCCACCGATCTCGCACTTTGGGACCCTGTCATTCGGCGAGGGAACGCACAGAAGTAGGAGGAAGGAGAAGAGGAAATAGAGGAGATCGAGGAAGAAGAGGAGGAATCAAGAGAGGACCGTGACGACCCCGACTACATCGAGGAGGAAGAAGAAGAACCGTAGGAAGAGGAAAGCAGATCGGGCGAACCAAGTCATCGGCCCGAGCGAAGCAGGGAGGAAGAAGAAGAAGAAGAACGCAAGCGAAGAGGAAAGGCGGAAGGGAAGCGGCCGATCCAGGAAAGATCCCCGCCGGGATTGTTCGCTGGGAAATCCGTGGCTCGATCCGGAGCCCCCGCGAGAAAAAGACGGACCCGATGGAGCCGCCGCAATGGGATTGGGAAGCCGCCGGCGAAGAAGGAGCGAATCGCCGTCGCCGTTTGATTCCCCTCCCCTCCCTACCCTTCGCCTTCGTCAGGATGCGGGCGATCGGGCTTCATCCCCGGTCGTTATCCCGTCGTCCCCTTGATTTCTTGACTCTCTCCCCACTCCATGGTCGACCCCCACTCCCCGCTGGTTGGTGCCCCTTCCCTCCCGACCTTTTCCACCAACTTTACGCCATCCGCCTTTTGGCCACCATTGTTCCGCACGCTACCACTCACTCGGCGGTAGACTCCTTTCTTCTTCATATCCTTCTATTCAGCGCGCACTGGCGGGAATATAACAATATAGAAATATACTGTATTATATCAGGAATGATCCCGCCTGCGAAAACTACAAAAATTTTCGCGCCGTGCTCCGCCGCACCCTTTCCACTCTCTATCCCGACTACATCGCCTCCCTCCCTCATCAGCACGAGGAGCGTCGTTTCCCCCGCATCCAGTTCATGCCCCCTTTTCCCCAAAATCCCCCTCTGCCTCCCCCATCGGTAATTAGATTGCCCTTCCCTGGGAACTTGTAGGATAGAGCCCGCGTATGCCACGTTGGACGACTTCCACACTCTTTCACACGGTAAGTGGCAACGTAGAGAGCTCCGTGTGTCGATCGATTATGGAGATCGACACGTGTCATGATGACGAGCAAGCAGGAGCTTGCTAAGATTGGAACCCCCTGGGCGTCACATATGTGACGAACCACTTTCTGTTCCGCGCGATTTTCTACGCGATGACAATGAGGGGTCCTAAGATGGGAAGGTTGGGCCTATTACGGGAGATCGGGATCGACGGGAAATTGCATCGGTGTCCTCGCTTCTTCGTCTTTTTGCGTCGCTTCCTTTTAGATGGTTGGGTTCGGTCGGGCGAGTCCCGGGATGGTCGAATGAGTGGCTGGCGTGCCACCGCGCGCGATTAATAATTGTTGACGTCGCTTCTTTCCTTTTGGTTCTGCTGACGGGTTTTCGGCACGGGGATCGCGCAGGGATTTTTTGCTTCGTTCTTTTTTAATTTCGTTTTTTTTTTTTTTTTTTCGAATCTTTTCGAGCCTTGATGGCTCTCGGAATCTTGGAGCTTCTTTTCGGAATTTGCGCTTTATTGAAATTCTTTTCGCATTTTTGCATTAGGAGAAATTTAGGAATTTAGGACTTTAGGAATTCGGATTTTCTGTTGCCTTGAGCTGCCTTGCGCGCTTCTTTTTGCGGCTGCAACGGAGCTTTGATTAGTCGGCGCCCTTAATCTTGTGTGTAACCGTAACTTTTGGGCGGGCGCCATTGTAACTGTATCTTTCTTCTTGGGCTTCGTCTTTCCAGCCCCTTCTTTTTCTTTTCGTTGTGTCTGGGATAGCCTGCGGGCTTCATGATCGGATCGATGCGTGGAGAGAGGTTACGTCCCCCACGCCGCGGTCTGGCCAAGCAGAGCGTAGGCAATCCCTCCTCTTCTCTCTTCCTAAGTCCTTGCAATTCCGTGTTCTTCGCGCATGCATGCACGCTGTCGGGCGGCCGAAGGCTAGTCGGCCACCCTACTTTTTGCAGATTGACCACTAGATTAATGACCTGAAGGCGGATTAGCTGGAACTTTCGTCCGCACTGACGGCCAAAATTAGGGGTACCCCGAGGGCCCCAACATTCGGGCGTGATGACCGCCGAGACTAACCCTCAAAATGGGTGAGAGGAAAGACCTCTCCTATCGTGCTGGCGTCTACCCCATTTCCGTCCGCCCTAGGCCTATCTTCGGAACACCTGGCCGCGGGACAGTAACATGAGAGTACGCCTTGGCGTGATCCTTTTACCTTGCGCTATTGGTGCGGAAATAAAACCTCCAATTACATTAATTTTGATAGTAAAAAAAAAAAAAAAAAAAAAAAAAAAAAGAATTAAAACGACAGAAAGGAAGAGAAAAACGGAATATTCCTTATTTTATTGAATTATTTCGGGACAATCTTAACGGCACTGGTCTCGATTT